GTGATGGAGGAACTTAATCCAGTCCTAAACCAGTCCATCTTTTTATGTTTTCCCCATTAAGATTATCACACAAAAATCTATCAGTTTTAGTATGTACAGGACTTTATCTCTCTTATTACACACAATCCAGTGAAGTCTTTTTTTCAAAAAGTTTGCATTTCATCTTTTCTCTACAGAATGTATAACAGTATATGTGTGATTTCTAGGCAATTTATTATCTATGCATATTAGTGCTCCACAGTGCAGTGCCTGTTGGTGCCATAAAGTTGCCAACCTTCAAGTGGCATCTGGAGATGTCCCGCTATTACAATTGATCTCCAGATGACCATGATCAGTTCCACTAGGAAAAATGGCTGCTTTGGATGGTGGACTCCAACCCACCCCACCCCCCGGCTCCACCTCAAAATCTCCAGATTTTCCCAACCCAGACCTGGCAACCCTAGCCATGGTTCCTGCCAATATGTTTCCTGGCACCCATCTGCTTCCCCAAACCAAAGAGCCAATCATGGCCTTCCTCCACTTCAACTTGAGTTAAAAGCCCTACGGAAGAGTTTAGGAAGCACCACTTTTGTGTCAAAATGGAGTACACCTCGCTCCATCACAGGAGCATGCTTTTGTGTGTGTGTGTGCGCGTGTGGAACTGCCCACTATTTGGAGATTGGACCAAGTCTCATGGCTGCCACTGTGTGATTAGTCACACCTTCCATGGCAGCCATTTTGTGGTAGCACTTACTGTCTGAGATTTCAGAAGTGTCCACAAGTTCAAAAAGGTTGAAGGGCCCTGAGTTACAGCTATATATTATTGCATTTCTATCTTGCCTTTCTTCCTTTGTGGAACCCAAGGCTGCTTACATAGGATTCCCAAGAGGTTTCCCATCTAGGCACTGACCAGACCTATACCTGTTGATGTACAGCAAGGCTGCTGTACTATGCACCCTCTAATCGTAACATGGGTAAAATTTCCCACCAAAGCATTAGCCAAACACAGAGCTCTTAGGCTTCAGAGAGGAAGTGCATTCAAATCATGATCACCAATAAGCTATTATTATTACAGTGTGACATAAACAGGGAAATGATGCTGAGGGGCAATGACTTGCTCAAGATTCACCTTCCTCCAGGAAATCAATGGCAACAGGGGAGGAGGTGTTGTATAATGTATAAAAATCATGAACATTAATGAAAACATCTAAACAGAAAGGTCTTGAACCATTCACAAACAATGGTGTAGGCTTCGGCAGACTATTTTCAGAAGAGAACAGTAAATTTCACATCTCAAGTCAAAAGTGAAGTCAATTCTGATGGCTACATTGCTGACACAAATTATTTTTAATGTGTAAAAACTTGCCCGTTTCTTGAAGACTGTAAACTTAGATGCACAACCATAACATCTACTATCCATCATCACATATATGGCAGCATGGACAGTTGGAGACACCTAATCCTCTTCTGACTGTACACAGCTATCCAAGTTTTCTTCCTCCTTCAGAGATGGGATGAACAGTAAGAGATATACAATTGAGAAACACTGGAGACAGATCACTTTCTATAAAAACTACAGTCTTAGGCTCATTCAGTCAAATGCGAGATTGATGATCTTTTCCTTGTTTTGAATGAAAGCATCTTCAAATAACATCAGTTGCTAGTATTGATTTAATGAATTAATAACGTATGCCGTTTGAAAGCCAGGAAAACATTATGAACATCTTTTCTCAAGGGACCTTAAACTTTATCTTGTAGAACCTCCCTAGTTCAAAGAAGAACATGTTTGATTCTCCCCAAAGAAACACTCTCAGGCCGCAGTTTGAATCTCCCCTAAGAGACTCCTTTTCAGAAGAGAGCAAACTCGTGATCAGGGGTCATTGCATAGAAAAAGAGGTGCAGCAGCTCATTAGCATAACTCATCAGCATAACTTATTTGCATATGCCACACACCCTGACATCACTGGAAGTGCATCAGAAGGCAACACCCACCACTCAGGCTCCACTGGACTGTTTTGGATTGCTAGCTATGGGGGGGGGGGACGGATGTGCTGTCTGCCCTCGCAGAGGAGGGAGAACTTGTACCTGAATAAAACTTGGTCTTAAAGTTGCCACTGGATTGTTTTGGACCGGGGGGCTGGGGGGAGCTCTGCAATTTACCTGGCTGCTTCTTGCTCTGACTGAGGACCACTGGGAGCAGGGGGTGGGGCTTGTTGCATGTGCCCGCCCCCTAGGCTCTTTACTGCCGGAGCTCCACTCCTGTTCGCTCCTGCAGGAAATGACCCCTGCTCGTGACAGACGTCTGACTAATGGGTTGCTCCATTAATTCCCATCATAAATAATGGGTGGCAAGACACAACCACCTGCAAGGTAAT